CGTCACTTTCTGTATGCTTTCGAATGATGACTGATGAACAAATGCTTGAAATGCTCCATTTCAAATGCCCAGCTTGACATATCGAGAGATAATTATACTTTTTTGGATTCCCATTTAGAAACCATACGGAAACATCGAAGCTTTGACATAATTCTCATTTCACACAGGAACCAAATATGTTTATTGAAAACGTGTGAATCAATTGATTTATTATACATTCTCAGCACTATTTGAGGTGTGTTTTGTCAATAAACTTTATTGAATAAAGTGATCAAAATCTTATTAATATTTAAATCTTCAAACCTTCCTTCGATATTCTTAAAATCAATAAAAATCCAATTGAATCTAGAATTGAACACACGTTACATATTTTCCTATGCCAACTGTAAGTCCTTAATGGACATTGGACAATGAAAATGTTTCAATAGGGAACCATATCAAAGAGTAAATGAAACAAACTAGAGGTATACCTTTACGTAAATTAAAACAATACACACTGCAATTATATTCCATAAAAGACTGTATAAAATGCAAAACTGTAACACAACTAGCGCTACTATGGAGCAAAAGTATTTTTGACTAGTTGGCGGCAACTTAGTATAGATTACACTGAATTCGGTAATGGCGCTAGTTATATCGCATCATCCCCCGATAGCAATTGTCAAAAATATGACTTTTCTGCAAAACGTTGCCAGCGCCATCTGAGAAGCATGTGACAGCTGATATTTCAATGTTATTTCGATACAAAATGCGTAAACAAACCGACGAACGCACAGAAAAATTATTTTTATGTTGCTTCTGTGGCATAGTTATTAAGAAAAACAAAAATAATCTAGATCGCCATGAACGACTTCACGCGGATAAAGTCAAAAACTATAAATGTTGTGCAAAAAATTGTGAGTCAAAATTTACAAACAAAGAGAACTATTACGTGCATTGGCAGAAACAACATAGAAAAAGTGTGATACCGGACTGTTTAATTTTTTTTTATGAGAAACCAAAATTGAAAAAACGATTATTTAAAATGCGTGAGGCCAAAATAAAAATTAAAAATTGTGAAAAGCCAATTAGCTATGAAATCTTACAAGCTGTTGGCTTATTACAAAATGCTTGTGTTTAAATTGAAAATCAAATTTCAAAATGCTTGGAATCAAATCCATTTTATGGAGAATTAAAATAAACAGTGCTATAATATCTCCTTTAATGTTTAATTTCGATGTTAGCAGCTATTAGTTTTCACTATTTAAACAATTTGGACATATTTGGAATATTTATTGAATTTTACTCCTGAAACGCATCTAATGCATTAGATGCGTTTCAGGAGTAAACTTCAATTTGCGCCAGTTTGATTTAATTCTTAATTAATTGAAGCTTGATTCAATTCTTCAGGACGCAATGCGGAACAAAAGGAAATACTATGAGGAGACCACTGACTCTAGAACCTACATACCTTTGAAGAATTAAATATGATATGTATACATTGAGAAAATAAGTTTCCAAAAATTACGAACGAATGAACGTGTTCGTTGTTCGTCGTTCGTACGAACAATCCGAACAATTCATTTTCTACGAACGAACGAACGAACAAAAAGACCAAAAAAATATTCTACGAACGAACGAACGAACGTTCGTGGACAGCTATGGCCACAAGATAATTTGAGTTGAAAATCGACAAAAATGTCAAAATTATATCATTGGGTCGCTATATTTATTTAATTTGGCGAAGAATCGTGTAATATGAGTATCCTCCATTAACAACCTGATTGAATTCAAAAATTTAAAATACAGTTTAATGTTTAATCTCAACACTAAGTCATCACATTTTCAAAATAACCTTTTTGAATGTTTGGCGTGTCAATGTAGCATTTGCAAAACCTTTAAAGACGACAGGTTCTTGTGTGGTCATCATGATCATTGGCAGCATTCTTTGAATTTCAATTGGGAGTTCATACCATTCACTTTCAGGAATTGCGTTATCGATTACTTCAAATCGACCACAAACTTTTTCGCCAAATTCACAATAGATGAATTGCAACGCAAACGACCAAAACATTACAGTAAGCGGATGAATCAATCCCATTACATTTTCAGAGTTTCCAACCTACATTCGGTTTGAATCGACATTTAGTTAATGTATTTACAAAGCTTTTGGTCTAAGATGGTTTCTATATACTAAATTAACTTTGAATACTTAACCTGGGTTTGAAAGACAAGAAGTGTCGAAGAGATAGTGAAAATGCCCCAAAGTAAAGCAAAAGTTATTATGTATTCATACATATCCAAATAGCAGTGAACAAGTCTAAAATGATAGATGTAGTGGCATTGATAATATAAATTAACAAAATGTGAAATGTTATTACCTTTTCGTATCCCAATGAAATTGAATGAATTTCACCAATTGTCTCTTGTAAGACACTTCTCCCTCTTGTTTCTTGATGCTTGTATTCAAATTGTTCAATTGTCCATTCAGATCGATTGCCAGCGACATCAAAAGTTCACATGATCCAACTATCATACTCGCATTACAGACAGCTAACTGGGCCAAATAGGACAACATAGAAAATTGAATTGCTAAAGCGAAACAATATCCGGATGTTGATCGCCAATCGAAAGGGAACCTTCAAAAACACAGCAAGTGAATTATGGAATAATATAAAAATCCAATTACTTTCACTCACCACATTGGAAAAGGCAAACTAAAAGCATCCGCACCCAAATCGGTTGCAAAGTATAAATAAAATGTTTTGATGCAATTTATCAATATTAAACCAGGCACTGTTAACTTTACTAAGGCCAATTCCAAAATTTTAGTCCATTCTTCTACCTTTTCGTTTGCTTTAATGTAAATCATAGCCGATATAGGAGTTTTCGCACCTAATACACATAATTATTGTCATTCAATGATCTCATAAGGATTTTTGTTTTGAATTTCCCAAATATAATACTCACGCCTTTCAATTACACTCCCAAAATTCTCGATCACTCTAAACACTTTTGGGGTGAATTCTAAGAGAATCAAATTCATGAGAGATATAGAAATTGACATATAAAATGATTCACTGTATTCGCTCATGGTTTTTGCCTCGAAGAGCAAAAATAACGTAGAGCAAATACAACAGTAACCCAGTAATGACAAAATGCAAATATTTTTCAATTTAAATGGTCTTCCTTCAAGAGTTTCTCTTGGATAGATCCCCAAGTTTTGAAGTGGTTTTTTAATTAATTGAAAGATTTTCATGGCACTTGGGTTTTCACGTCACTTTGGGTATGCTTTCGAATAATGACTGATGATCGAATGCTTGAAATGTTCGCCTTCAAATGCACGGCTGACATATTGAAAGATAACATACGTATTTAACTTTTCACTTAAAAAGAACACGGAAACATCGATTGTTGATAAGCTGTATAATAATTTTCGTGAGAATCAAATATTATCTTATTAGCACTATTTGTGGTGTGTTTTGTCAATAAAGTTATTAAAATCTTATTAATATTTAAATCTTCAAGCCTTCCTTCGAAATTCTCAAAATCAATAATAATAGAATTGAATCTAGAATTGAACATATGTTACATATTGCTATGCCAACAATAATTTCTTTATGGACATTGGACAATGAAAATGTTTCAATACGGAACCATATCAAAGAGTAGATGAAACAAACTAAAAGGTAGGTATAATTAACTAACATATGTTACATAAAGATTGAGACTAAATCAAACGACCACCATAGGCAATCCGAAAACAAATTTAAAGTACACTCAACCGGCCATTGTCTTCGATTTTACGCAGTATGTATCGAACCTTCAAAATCATGCTTTGGCAGATCGATTTTTCGATTTCTTTCAACTTTTGCTTAATCCTACCAACTAATGGTTGCTCGCTTTTGGCTTCCCAGCCCTTCTCGTACACCTTACGTTTGAGAGTCGACCAGAAATCTTCGATTGGACGTGCCTGTGGAATGATTGGTGGGTTGTTCGGTACAAATGGTATATTTAGATCAGTGAGCTGATTCAATGTTTTTTTCGCATAATGACTGCTTGCAAGATCAGGCCAAAACATTATTTCGTCTCGGGCGTGATAGATTTCAATAAATCGCTTCAGTTGCGGCAAGCATCGATCGATATAAATGTCTGCATTGATGGCTTTGGCTCTTTGTGGCCGAAGCACTGGCGTTGAAGCACCTTTCGATGAGATAGCCATAGCCAACCATACCAACACCTTCGGCTCAAATTTTGACTTACCGGCAAATTTAACATTGTCTGGTGTTGCTTCAATGTTGTCAGTGTAATAGCCATCATTTCCACTCAGTTCATGGTGTGAGAAGGTGAAGTAAGATTCATCATCCAAAATGATGAAATGCCCATTTGAAAAATGTTTGTCACGAAGTGCACGGCAACATTTTGGTATTATTTCGAGTTGTCTCGGTGTGTATTTTGGTGCTCGCTTACGTTTTCGATAAAAAACGTTGTTTTTCTTCAAATTGCGATGAATTGTAACATTGGAGACACCAAATTTCCGCGATAATCGACGTATTGATTGATCAACCTGTTTTTGACACTTGTCAGCAGACTTTTCGTTGTCCGAACACTTACTTAGTTTGGATGGACGACCCGGGACCCAAAACAGTTTGAGGCAGACTTGCGCAAATCCAATTTGTACGCCATCGCGAATGGAAATTTTTCTGCAAATTGTGTTTGACAGTAGTAGGAGTCCCGTTAAGTTTCCTATGTGCATTGGTTGACATTTTTATTTTTGTTTATGTAGCGCAATGTAACGCCTGAATTTAGTCTTAATCTTTAAGTAACATATGTTATTATAATTCATGTGCCAACGCATCTGTCAAACATCTGAGCAACACTGACATATAAATCAATAGCAAATTATACAAGTTCTGTATAGTGTATCTGTATAGAATACGTAAAATGTTAAAAATCCTACAGATTCTGACGCAAATGAGAGATATGAAGGACGTCCAAGGAAATGAATAAAACAAAAAATGTGGTTTCATTGAATAATTTGTATTTATTATTGCTTTTAAAATAGTACAATGTTTGTCAACTGGTATTCAATAATGTACAGCGTCACTTCTGGTAATTTACTAGAGATGTGTGTCTCTAATACAACTACTGCGTTTATCACAATTGCATGAATGATCGTGCCAATTGGGCTCTGTAAACATTGAATTCCAACACAATGTCTACTGTTTTCTCGAGTTCCGATAATAGTATCTGCTGAAGTTCATCCATTGTCTCAAAAATGTTTTGCATCGAAGCAAGAGACATAATCTGCATTTTTGGGAGTATCAATTTTATGTATTCAGCCCTTTCTGTATTTACTACATTCATTTGATTAATTAATCTGCTGCATATATCATTATAATCTTGGTTCATACCAGTTATCATATCTTCAGTAATCCTACTTATATAACTATTGTTGATGGTTTTACCGCGAAAAGATTCAAGTAATTGATCATAGCTTAATTCTTCCTCATCGTCGTCCGAATCTATTTCTTCAATAGTTGGCTCATTCAAAATTGAACTACGAATTTCATTGAACATTCCAGAGATTTGTCTGCAATTTCCAAGAAAAGTGTTGGGAACTGGAAGCGCAGCATGTCTTCTTGAAGAACCGACCGGATTATCGGCAAATTCTATCAATCTATCTTCAATTTTTTTACAACGGGGTCGCTTTATGTTATTAGGCACCATGTTAGAGTCAATTTGAAAAACAATGTGCAAATTATCTGTTTCATTATGTCCTCGATTACCCCGCAGAGATTCAATTTTTGTTTGCAAGATGTTCAAAAATGTTGTGAACGCTGGATCAGACGGCGCACCATTGGTCAAATCGAACTGGAAATAAAACACATCATTAAAAGTTCACTATTCGACTAATACTTTTTACCTGATCGAAAATTATCACCAACAATAATGGGAAAATTAAGAAGAACTTCATCACTATAGAAATTAGCTTACGTGCCGAAATTCAAGTTTGTGAAATAATAGTTTTCAGTTATTAAAACACGGGGTTTTATACACATTTTCGCTTTATTTCTTTAATATTTATCTACTCTTTCAAATTATAAATGTGGTTATCATTTATGACAATACACGTGTTTGAAAAGTAAATACAACCAATTTATTTGTTTCTATTCCAGATGTTTCATACATAGCTGTCCAAGAACGTTCGTTCGTAGAAAATGAGTTGTTCGGATTGTTCGTACGAACAACGAACACGTTCGTTCGTTCGTAATTTATGGAAATTTATCTTCTCAATGTACACAAATATTGCGATAATAACTTTAAATCGATTTTTCCCACTTTTCCGACGGAAAATCGTGAAAAATAAACAAAATGTACACATTTGAAAGTTATCGTGTTAACAAATTTTTGCGTACAGGATACGCACATACATTCGGACATTGAAAAAACGCAAGATTCGTGTTCCCTGACTCCGAAAACACATTTTTGATGGGTGTTAATTTTTCGACCGATTCCAATACTTTACCTCACACACTAGGTGTGTGCGGAAAAGTAAAATTGCTCTGTACTATTCCATTACTGATAGGTTTTATCTAGGGGGCATTCACGTGGAATGGGATTAGACTTTTAGTGTAAAGATTCGAGAAACTGCAATGAAATAGCAACGTCTGTGAATGGATTCGCGTGGAATAGCGAAACAGTGCATGGAATAGGAAAAATAGTTTCGATTTCACATTTGTCTTTTTGGATTAGTAATTTATATAGAGGATTTGGAATTTATTCTTTGGTGTCTCCTCCCTAGGGTTTAACAACGTAACTTTTATCCTATTGTGGTACTCGTTTTGTAACTGTTTTTCAAAAACAGTTTCGACGTCAATTTTTTTCTGAATCTTGCCAATTGTTAACTGTGTTCCCTGGTCTGAAACAATTTCTTGAGGCGTTCCAAAACGAACGAAAATTGATGTTAGTATGTTGATTGTTTTACTTAATGTTATTGATGTGGTTTTAATCACTTCTATCCATTTTGAATATGCGTCAACAACGATGAGAAAATAGAAGTTCCGAAATGGATCAGCTAAATCGATGTGTAACCTTTCCCAAGGTTCAGATGGAATCGGCCATGAACGCAGTTCAGTTTTTCGATGTGCCTTTCCAGATAAAGCACAATTTGAATAATGGTCGATATTTGCCCAATAAACGTATGAACGAGCAATATTCACGATAATTCACTTCGACGGCGATAAAATTGAGAAAAAATGTTGTTGTCAATTGTAGAATATGATGATCATTGATCAATTGTTCGAAATCAGTTCAATTAATGTTTGAAGAAATTTATCTTTCGAATATTCGTCACAAAGTTGATTGTAGTTCACTGGTATTTATTCAATGTTTCGATTGATTATTGCCAAAATTTCTTCTTCCAAGTATATTGAAGCAATTGTAAACAAATCATTTTGAAGTTTTTGTTGGTTTATTAATCTCGATAGTTCATCAACGTATGCGAATGATTCTGTGTTGACATAGTTGATTGTGAAATCATATCCCAACAGGATAATGGCCCAACGAAGTAAACGATTTGCCGTGTGGATTGGTATGCCCTTTTTGTTATCAAAAATTGATAATATTGGTTTATGACCGGTTTGTAGAATAAAAAAATATTGTCTTTTCGACACACAGAGTAGCTCACAAATACTCAGAAATACTACTTATTTATTTGTATGAGCGATATTAGGTATGTTCAGCCATAGATTTGTAGTTTGTTATAAGTTTGTACAAACTTTGTAATGAGTAGGGTGGAGCGATTGATCTTTTTTCATCGAATACAACGTGGACATGCATCATATGAGAGAGGACATCAATACAAACAACTTTTGTTCTACGACTTTGAACCCGGACGAACCTCCGTTCGCCCCGGTCCATTTTCATATCCCATGTGATTCCCCTCTAGATCGTTATTTTTTAGGGTCTACACGCCATTGGATCGCATTTTTATGGCCTTAAATCGATTCCCCAATTGTGTGAACCAATTCCATAAATATTCATTTTCGTCAATACTATTTGTGGTATGTTTTCTCAATTAGACATTAACATTTTTAATTTGGACATTGAAATCGTGTATTATTGTAACAAAAACAATCATGTGTAGACCGATTATACCTTTCCAACTCACCCATACGTATAAACAAATAATATTGTTTAAATTTTCAAATATCAACAAGAATTTCCTTCGATATTCTCACAATCAATAACAAATATAATTGAACCAAAAATTTGAAGCTTGCCAATTTAATTGGACACAAGTTTCGTATTGAACACATAGGAAGAAAGATAGAAGACTTCAAAAATATGGTTTCTTTAAATAATTTGTATATTTATTATTTTTTTTGAAGTAAAATGTATGTCAATTGTACTCTGTGCTTATTACAATTGCATGAATGACTTTGCCAATTGAGCTCTGTAAGCATTAAATTCATTTAGAATTGCTACTGTGTTCTCGAGTGCCGTTATCAATCTCTGCTGAGGTTCTTTCAATGTTACAATAATACTTTGCATCGATGCATGAGTCAAAATCTGCATTTTTGGTATTGCCAAATTTATATATTCACGTCTTAACGCGCTTGCTACATTCATTTTAGCAATCAATCTGCTGGTTATATCATTATATCTATGTCTTATATCATTTATCATTCGGTCAGTAATTCTTCTTATATAACTTTTATTGATGGTTTTTACGCGAAAATTTTGGAGTAATTGATCATAATCTAAGTCATCATATCCTTCATACCAAATAACTGCATCAGCAGTTGGCTCGATTAAAATTGTACTAGCAATATCGGTGAAATATTCAGACATTTTTTGGCAATGAATAAGAAAACTATTGGAGTTTGGGTCTGCGGTAAATCTTCTTCTCGAACTCATCATGTTATCGGCAAAATCTGCAAGTCTACCTTCTATTTCAACACAACGTGGTCGTCGTATGTGATTTGGTACCAGGTTTGAGTCAATTTTAAAAAATTTGGACAAGTTGTTTGTTTTACGATGTCCTTTGTTACCCAGTAGAGCTCTCACTTTTGTATTCAAGATGTTCAAAAATGTTGTGAACGCTGGATCATCCGGTTCGCTATTGGTCAAATCAAACTGAAAATAAAATACAGGATTGAAAGTTCTTTTTGTAACTATTCGACTCATTCTTTTTACCTTAGCGAAAATTGTCACCGACAGTAATATGAAAGTTAAGTAACCCTTCATCGCATGTGGAAAGAGAAATTCGCTTACCGTCAAAGATCTGAAATAATAATTTTTCATTTTCCAAAACACAGGTTTTTTATACCATTTACCTATTTGTTGATTATTATGATCATATTTTCTTTGTGATACTTGATAATGCGCGTGTAATAAAAGTCAATACAATAGTTAGAAAAACAAATTCAGCAAATATAACAGGTAATAATTAATTATATTCCAGATGTTTCATATACATGGGGCCATTCACGGCATTCTACTTCAGTTAGTTTTTGCTTGTATTTTACTTTTCCGCACACCCACTGTGTGCAGTAAAGTATTGCAATCAGCCCAAAAGAAGCGATAAGATTACTGCGTGAAATCATAAAAAAATAAAATTCACGTATAGTTGGCGCTACATTCTATGTAATAAGCGTATACTTTCCACTTAGTCCGTTGCAACGGAAAACAAGTTTGCATAGAATGCAGGGCCAACTATATGTGAATTTTATTTTTTATCGTTTTAGGCAATAAATCTATGGTTTTCTTATGGCTTCTTTTTTTTTTCTTCTCTGAGTCTTTACGCCGTTTGAAAGGCTTGAAAAATCTTTTTAACTAGCTTAACCTTAGACATGTCTCTCGGGTCAAATTGACCCAAGGTATATTCTTTTGCAAATTAAACATACAAAAAATAAAAAATATAATCAAATATCGTTTTTTGTATGTATTGGACCTTTATCTTTGTAAACACAGTGAAAGTATTACAAATATGTGACATATGTGTATGGGCGGCCGATATGTAAATGGCCGACCGGCCACTCTTTATTATTCACCAATGACACCATGACAATTTTGCATTTTATAAGCACAAACAGACGCCAATTGATAGTTTATTCCAAGGCCATTCCAACGATATTCAAATACCAACTGTAAGTCAAGGGGTTGAGCCTCAGTGGCTGTAGAAAAATTGACCATTATTCAAAATTGAAAGGCCGGCCACGGCCAAAATGGCGGCAGGATCAAAAAGTCGTAGAACAAAAAATGTTTAGCTTATCTTGTACTATAATCCCTGAAAGTTTGAAAAAGATCGGACTCAACTAAGTTTTGCGCATATGTAAAAATACACATGTGATACATAAAAGTATGTACATATGCGATGCATATACTTATGTGAATATGTGATACTTGAAGTATTAATGTATATTAATTGTATAATAAGACGGGATTAAGTTGTAAACACCACAGATGGGTCTAAGGTTACTAAAATAAGCAACTACCACCGTGCGGAAAAGTTCGTCTTACTCCCGTAAGACTTTTTAGTTTTGCTTATAATAAATTCTATTAATTATTTTCGTTATTACTATTGCAAAACTTATTCAATTTATACAATTTTACAATTTTGTTTGCAACAAAAATAAAAAGGAACTTACATCCGTAAGTCTAACTTTTCCACACTGTTTCCAAATTTCTTCCTTTACCGAACTGGTACTGCAGTACTAATTAAGTACTAATTATACTCAATTGTTTTGAAATCTCTTCAAACTTTCAGAATGTTAGCTTTTTGTGAAAAAAATACCGTCTGCAAATTTTTCACATGATAACGATATCATACAGGCATTGAAAAGTCCAACAAAAATTATTTGTATCGCAAAACTTATATCAGATTCAGTTTTCTCATGAATTCATATTTACGGTAAAAGATAGGTAATAAATGCATTTTGTGGATCACAGTGCGGAAAAGTTCATCTTACGGATGTAAGACATTTTATTACTTTTCCGCACACACCTAGTGTGTAAGTTAAAGTATTGGAATCGGTCGAAAAATTAACACCCATCAAAAATGTGTTTTCTGGGTGTTTTTGGGGCCAGGGAACACGAATCTAGCGGTTTTTCGATGTCCGAATGTATGTGCGTACCCTGTACGCTGTACGCTGTACCCTGTACGCTGTACGCAAAAATTTGTTAACACGATAACTTTCAAACAAGAAAAGTAATTCAAAATCTGACTTCACAGGATGATTGGGGGTGCCGAGGAATAGAAACCATTAGATTTTGAGCGACTTTGGTTGACAGAGTGAAGTGTCATGTCTGGTGTGATGCCCATGGCCATCTATGGAAAAAATTCAATTTTTCTTCCAAAAGTGATATTTAATGTATACTTAAACACTCAAAAATGTGTATAGGGGGGTTTTTGGGTACGAGAAAACCGAATATGACCTTAGTTTTGCGATACAAATAATTTTCGACACACTTTTCATACAAAAATTTCAAAAAATTTGGATTTTTGTATGGAAGCCATGCCTGTATGATATCGTAATGAGATGAAACTTTGCACAGGTTATTTTTATCACACAAAAATGCCATTCCGAGAGTTTGAAGACATTTCAACGCATATTAGGGGTACTTCCCGAACAAAATTTTGGATTTTTTGTTCAAAAACGAAATTTTGTATGGGAAGTACCCTTAATATGTATTGAAATTTCTTCAAACTATCAGAATGTTAACTTTTTGTGAAAAAAAAAACCTCTGCAAATTTTCACATGATTACGATATCATATAGGCATGGCTGCGATATAAAAATTCCCATTTTTAGTAGTTTTTGTATGAAAAGTGCTTCGAAAATTATTTGTATCGTAAAACTAATGTCAGATTCAGTTTTCTCGTGAATTCTTTGAGTGAAAGATTTGTAATAAATAAGATCTCTAATACAGTAGCTTTTTTATATGAAATCTCTCATACTAACGCCTTCACTTTATCTTTTGGCGAACTAAACAGAATAAAGTTTAATATAAAAGTAAAGTCTCCATCAGGATATTTTATACAGCCGGTGTCAAGATCAATAAAACTGTTAATAGAATCTGCCATTTTTACGCAATTTTGCGATGTGATTGCGAGATTAAGAATATAAATAAAATAAATGAACGGAATAAACCAACTTAACAGAACAAAATAATTCGCACGAGTGTATGACAAGTATGTAAGAGAACAATAACATTACGTTTTGTATCTATCTGTCAAATGTCACACTCACACTTATGAGTTTACGTATGGAGATTTTAACAATATCATTTCTACAAGATCTACAAACTCTACACCCGAGGCTTTTTAAGTTAAATTAAAACGCATATAAATTTATTTTTTTTTTAATAGAAATTATCTAATGCTAATTGTGCTAACTTCATTTTCAAAACAAAAAAATGAAACAATTTATTAATTTATTTTTCAACAATTTTTGGAATAACATATGCGCTCATTCTCAAACTTGTGAAATAATATCCCATTCTATATATAGATGGCACTGTCTATACGAAGTTCGGCAAACAAAGCATTACGCTTATTGAGCGCATTTCACCTCTTTAATAAATGCATGTTGTGGATCACAGTGCGGAAAAGTTCATCTTACGGATGTAAGACATTTTATTTAGATATGTTATTGATCTGTATGTTATTTAAACTATTGAATTTGGACATGAAGAGATGCTTGAATTCTGTTCTAGTTCTTATATAATTCAGAGGATGCCAATTAATTATATTGATGCAAGCAGAGACTATTACTCAGATCAATGTATGTGGAGCCGGAGGAGCAAAGTATTTTAAATTATGAATACACATATATTGCGCTAAGAAACAGGATGCAAGACATATTTCAAAATAAAAATGAAATCCCTTCCTTCATATCTTCCAATCCTTTCCCGACACTCTTTATTTCATTGTTTAATGGAAAAATACCAAAAATTAAGGTCAGTTATCATCGATCGAAAACAACTGCATTCTATTTATATAATATCTTAAATTAAAGTAATATGATAGCAAGTGCACATTTGAATTCTAATCGATTTTTATTTGGTTAATGTGATTTTAATGTCGTTTAGCCAAAAACGTGTATCAACTTGTGAATAATCACAAAACGAAATTACATTTTAAATCGATAAAATTGCCTAAACTCCACGTTACTGTTCATTAGCATTCAAATATGTTGAATTATTTTCAGTTGTGATTTGCGTACCAATCTAGGGGTAAACACAACGAAAATTCAAAATTCAAATCTTCGCAAATCCTAAGTCCCATTCTCAATCACTTTCAATTCGAATTTGTCAAAAAAAACATTCAAATTCAAATCTTTGCAAATTAATTCGTATCTTCATGAATCTTCTTCCAAAATCATATTTAAATATTTTAAATCTTGTGTCTGACCCCTTGGCAGTAATTACTGCATTACAAAAGAAAATGTCGATATTTTTCTATAAATATAATAGCTGAATAAGCATTTCCATGAAATGCATTCAATGCAAATTTAGTTGGATCAGTCATCATTCGAAAGCCTATTCAAAGTGACGTACAATCAAAGCATCATGAAAATCTTTCAACTGATTAACAAACCACTAAAAATCATAAGCATTTGTCCAACTCAAACTCTTGAGGAGAGTCCATTTAATTTGAAAAATATTTCTATTGTGATATTACTCGGAAATTGTGGCATTTTCGCCATTTTATTTCTTTTGTTCGAGGCAAAAACCTTGAGAGAATACAGTGAATCATTTTATGTGTCAGCTACTTTATTCACTCTTATGTTAGTTTATGTGGAATTAATTCGGCGAATTTTTAAAATGATTGCGGATTTTGAAATTGTGATTGGAAAACGTGAGTTCTAGTCCTGACAATAAAATCAAAATGAAATCATTGTGTGATTTAGGTCTGGAAACTCCAACATCAGCTATGATTTACATTAACGCGAACGAAAAGGTGGAGAAATGGACCGAGATAATAAACATTGTGTTTGTCAAGTTGACGTTGCCTAGTGTAATGTTGCCAAAATTGATAATATCATTTTTCTTATATTTTACAACTGATTTGGGGGTTGAGTCATTCAGTTTACCGTTTCCAATGTGGCAAGTTCAAAAATTACGTTTCGTTAAATTTAGAACGTATTTCAATTTTTCAAATTTTCGAAAGTCAGTTATTTTCACACTGTATTTTTGCCCCCGGGCGCGTGGTTCTGTCAAAATGACACTTGGCTTCCGAACTTTTAAGAAACTGAATCACTTTGAAGTTTTTACATA